ACCCAGATGATTGAGATATGGTTGTACTTTGCTATACGCCTTCTTAGTGTGGTTCCAGAATACGTTTACAGAATTTTTACATAGACTGTCGCCCAACTCGGGAGACACCTTCAACTTTGAAATTTCGAATATGGCCCTAGTCTTATGAAATTGAAAAACTGAATTCGTCTCGATTTTCCAGAAAATTCCGTTAGTTTGATTATAATCGAGTAAATTATTATTTTTTTAATACGACCCTATTTATCATTCGAATATAAGCCATACCTACTCATTTTTGTACTACTGCTGATTCTCAAAAACTTCTCTGACACTTCATTCTCCTTCGATTAAATGGAACAATTTGAAAATGAAATGTGCCGATATCCCAACTCTCAGATATCCACTTCATTGTTATCTACTCACTTTGTCAATAAGAATAATTATTCTTGGACAATAAAGTATAGTTTGATTGATTGATTGATTGATTGATAGTCTATTTTATACAAACCGGGGAAAATGCAGAAGCAGCAAGCAGTTTGTATCACGAGAAGTATCCAGAGAGAAGACAATCTTTTAGAGACATTTTCGCAAGATTGCAACACAATCCAATTGATGGTGTTCAATTTGAAAAGGCCAAAATTATATGAATCAAATAGGGATAAGTGGTTAGAAGAAATAGTCGTTTTAGGAGCTTTTGAAAATAATCCCAACGCGAAATTTGAAAATATCAACAGGCCTACCAAGAACTAACGTTGGGAGGATTTTGAAAAAACAAAATTCAAGCCATACAGGACCAGAAGAGTTCATCAACTTAGACCAGGAGACTTTGAAAGCAGCCTGGCTTCTTGCCAGTGTTTCCAGGAAAGTTGTAACCCAGTGCGTTATTTTTCGTTAAAGTGTATTTGAACAGACGAAGCTTATATGAGCAGTGCCAGTATTATCAACCGCTACAATTCTTATACTTGGGCACAACAAAATCCTCATTCTAATATGGTGCAGGGAAGTCAAGGAAAATTTAGTTGTGGGCGGGTGTTTTCAGGAATAGAATTATCGGCAGGTTCATTTATAATGGCACTCTCACATCTCAGAGGTATTTAGAAATTTTAAGGCAAAATATTGAACCCCTTGTCGATAAATTGCCATTAATGTAGCTGAAAAAAATATATTTTCAACAAGACGGGGCTTCGCTTCACAACAATGCAATTGTCACCAATTTTTTTTGGTGCAAATTTTGGTAATAATTGGATAGCCAACCAAGGACCCAACTGTTGGCCGGGCAGGTCACCGGACCTAACGTCTATGGACGTACACCTTTGGGAACGTTGGAAGACCATATTTTTAAATTGCTGACCAATTCTAGATACGAATCGCAAGCGGCAGTGATGCAAAGTTTTGCTTCTCTCACTCCTATTGAACTACTTAATTCGTTAAAAAAACGTTCAGAAAAGGTGTTGCCTGTGTGTAGGAGAACCTGATAGACATTTCGAACACCTTCTCTGAGGAAATATATGTCATTGTTTGTTCTGTATCATTATTATTATTATTACCCTTCAAGTTTCATTTATTAGTAGTAAATATAGTAATCAAAACGCATAGTTTTATTGAAACTATGCGTTTTGATTACTGCTGTAAAAAGCTTTCTTAACAGTTGATAAAACAATTTCTATCTGTTTCATCGTCGCGTCGTCCAAAGCCTATTTGATCAAAGTGTGAGTTTCAAAGTCGAAATGAAAAAACCTAAAAGCTCTGTATTTCAAAGATGTCTCCAGCATAACATCAAGTGTTCTACATTTTTTGGAAGGGTAATTTTAAGCTCTATTGAAAGATGCAGGAACATACAGGGTGTCTCATAAAAAATAGTTTACCACCAATAATTATTGATATCTCATTTGAAAAAACAAGTTTTTTTCACCATTGAATTCTATGTAAAAAAGTGCTTTGGAAATATTTTCATAGAAACAAACATTTTTTACAGGAAAAAAGTTTCAGCAACTTTTCGAAAATGCATATTTTTCTCAAAACATGCTGTAACTCATAAACGATGACAGATATCGATATGTCATTTTCACCCTCAGACACAGTCATAAGTTTTCTTCAATCTAGTTTGAAAACAGGAGTTTTCCTTTAAATGTGTCCACTATGTTCATACAGCTGTGGTACATTATGTGACATATTGCTTGAATTTTACGATTATCACGGCCTCAATAAAAATATTAATTATTTGATGTTCAATAAAATCTTGAAACTCTCATTAAACATATTCTGATCGAATGTTCCTGCGACATAATTGGAACATAATTTCAATATCTCTGCGAACAAAAAAGATACAGCCAAGAATAGAAGCGTATATCTTCGTAACCAAAATAGTTACCGTCGAGTTTTATAGTACCTACCCAAAAATAATCTATTTAACCACTATTTGAAATACCATTCACTGTTCACAAGATCCTCACGTATAGAGTCGACTTTGACAGAGAATTAGATTCGTGCGTAAATATTTGTTCATGACTAAAACAATTTCATTGGAGTATAGCGACACAATAAAACAGACCGGGTAAACATATTTTCCTTGAATATTGTAAATGAGCCTATTACAAATCATCAACGTGTAGAGAAACACCTCATAATGTTCATATCAGTAAAAATCTGGACAATTTCTACGTGGCTGAATCTCTGGAGCTAATGATCGGTCTGATTATTATCTCCAGAGATTCAGCCACTACCAATAATTAAACCACTGTAAGGTAGAACATCATCTTTTGTGAAAAATTCAAGGCATTTCGTTGAACTACTAGGGAAAATTGAAGTCAAAGAGCAGGATCAACTGATTAGTTTCGACGTGGAAAGCCTCTACACCAACGTTCCGGTCGAAGAAGCACTTCAAATCATACAGAAGAAGCTATCCGAAGATGGGGACCTGAAAGATAGAACAAACTTACCGATACAAGTAATCATGGAATTACTAGGATACTGTGTACGAAACTGCTACTTTCAACTGAAGGACGAATTCCTTACGCAAGATGAGGGACTGCCAATGGGATCGCCACTTTCACCTGTTGTAGCCAATATATATATATGGAGTGGTTTGGAACTCTGGCTATTGAAGAAGCCCACAAGAAGCCCCGAGTCTGGTTGAGATACATAGACGACACCTTCTTTATATGGAACCATGGGATTGCAGAACTAGACACTTTCCAGAAGCACATCAACAACGTAAGTCCTTCCATCACTTTCACAATGGAGAAGGAAGTCCACAACGAATTGCCTTTATTAGACGTATTGGTGAAGAGGACCGACACTAAATGGGAAACATCTGTATATCGAAAACCCACTCACACAGGACAGTATCTGAACCAGAAATCCAACCACCATCAATCGACTAAGAGAGGAATCATCTCAAGACTCCACTAGACCGTGCTTTTGGGCTCTGTAATACAAAGGAAGGTCTCGAAAAGGAACTAGACATCATCAAAAATGACCTTCAATGAAATGGTTACTCCAAAGTGATGGTGGAACAGGCTTTAGCTAGAAAACAGCAACAAGGAAGAAAAGCTGCTACAACCAGTAATTGTACTTTCCTGTATCAGAGGATTGTCGAAAAGGATAAGAAGGATTGGGTCCAAGTATAACATCAGGACCTGCTTCAAATCTGAGAACACTATTCGTAGCAGCCTTGCATGCCACCAAACAAGGACTGCGATTCCAAGAATTGTATTTACCGGATACCTTACGAGTGCGGAGAATCCTACATCGGTGAAACTAAGAGGCCATTGAAAGTTCGCATTGCCGAGCATAAGAAACATACACAGCGAGGAGAAACCAGCAAATCCGGAATAGCAGAGCACGTTTGGACTCATCAACATAACATCAAGTGGGCTCAAACTAAAATCATCCACAAAGAGGAACACTGGTTCAGGAGAAAATTCAAAGAAGCCGCGTATATATTGTCCAACAACGCATTTAGTCAAGCTAGCGTAGAGATACGTAACATATGGAAATCTCTAATCAAGTGAAAAACGACCAATTCCCGCCAAACGGTCATCTCCCGCTAAAAACCAATGAAGCGGAAAAAGTGAAGAGGGGATGGTGAAAGCACTCGAGCGATCTATAAATAGTCAGATCTCGGAGGAATAAGTCCAGTTATCACCCGAAGACGATTGTGGATACTAACAATCGAAACGTCGTGACATAGTTTGGTTTGAAATCCTTTCATAATTATCTTTCATTTTTTTGTCAATAATAATTTTTAATTTTTATTTTTCAGCTTTCATTTATATTTCAATTTTTATTTGTTTGGTTGTTGCTTGTATGTTAATTCTCTGTAGGTAATTTCAGTTTTTGTTCAATGAAATTGTTATTTTCGGTTAATCTTATTAATTTTTTAATTGTTTTTTTTAGGGTTTTCAAATCAATTTATATTATATTAGACAATGGAAGTCCGAACTGATGAATGACAATTGTATAAATTTTTTTAAGAATTTGACAGATATTCTAAAATGTGCATTGTAAAAAAAGTATCCAGTTTAATTGTATTTACGGCTCAGTATTTTGCATATAGCGGCTACCACATAAGAGGTACATATGTGCTATCACGGACTTTTATTTGGAACTATTTAAGATAAACAATCTTACGGTACATTATCTTCAAGTAACTACAACAGTATAGGCAGCGCACACCTAGATAGCTCTCAGGGAGCAAGAATTTTTCCAACTTACTTAATACTTATCGTTATATTATGACGAAAACTACACAAACCTTCTGTAAATTGTAGCCTATATGTTATTTTAGTATAGATAGATAGATTTCACCAATATAGCGACAAGGGTTGATTCCAGAAAAACTTCATATCCACACCAAACCAACTCATAAAATCATCGAATCACACATTTGGGTATTTTCAAGCAATACAACGTAAATCATTAGTGGGTTTGTGAAAAAGCAACTAGGTAGCCTAATTTCCGTATGGTAAATGAGCAAACTCGCTGTTAGTAAATGTATGTTTCCACTCTTTGATCCTAACCTTGTATGCCTTGTAATAAAGCCTGCCCCAAACTCATCGCATTCGGCCTTGGGGTTGGAGCGGCCACAGAACTGGAAGGTGACCCAGAGGAAACAGGAGCCACCCTTGGCGATTGCGGAGGTGTTCCAGAACCTAATAGTGTTGGGAATTTTTTTTCAATCAATTTGACGAATAAGAATTGAGAAACAGTTCGAAACAGTTTAACGTATTTAATGTTCAACAACTCAGAAATATTCATAAAGAAGGTATTTTGTATGTATTCTCAAGACATAATTTAAATATTTCATCTTTTATTTAAAATAGTGTCAGAGAATTCTCTCTGACAAACATTTGTTGTCTTTGTGTGTAAGTAAGGCGATTACATCTTGTCTTATGAAGACGCTGTCTATGGGATCGACAGAATTCTCAATCCATGAATATTAAAGATCAACGAGGCTACCCAAAGCGGTCCGTTGGAAGGTCAAGCTTCGACATCGACTGCCAAATGAGATTCATCCTCTATCTTTCACTGCAGCTTGCACTGCAGGGAAACGAACCCGAAAACAAAGCAACACCAGACAGCAATGCTACAACCCGCCATAGGTTTCATTAGTGGTGCCAGGCCGAAACACGAATGCATTGCTGGACACAACTGTCTCCCTTTCGAAGACGCTATCTATGGGATCGACAAAAGACTCAATCCACTACTATAAAAGATTTAATTAAGGCCAAAGCCAAGATACGATGTCTACCACCTAACGATGTTTACTTTTGGTAATCGTGGACTGAGTCTCCTATCGACCCAATAGACCATAAGGGAATTTGGAATAATAGTAATAACTTTTTTGGTCATTGTCGATGTCCCAGACTATCAAGGTTGCAAGTGATATTCGTGTCTCCAATCAGGCGGATGGCTCTTTTGTGGATGAAATCCAGATGCCTTAGAAGGTTTGATCTGAGCTTTATAAAGCATCAAAAGTCGCTGAGGTATGTCGAAACAGTGTTTCAAACTTTTGAGAAGCTGCCTTTGCAATTCCAGCGACATAATTGTGCCAAGATATATTGGCGTCCATTTTAACCCCCAACAAACGTATCGAAGTAGAAAGCAGAATTGTCTGTCCTGACATTATTATATCCGGTTCGGAAACATTTATCTTTTTGGAGAAAACTGATGCCTTGGTTTTTGTGGCATTGGTTACTTGCACCCCAATTCGAAATCACTTCTAGATCCTCATTAGGATATGCAACCTCCTGCTGCTGGTGTGCATCTGCAGCCGATGTTCTGGAATTCAAATGGAATGACGTTACAAGTGTGCTGCCGTCAGCAAAGCAATATATTTGATTCTCGGTTTATTCCAATAAGTCGTTTATATACAATAAAAACAGGATTGGAGACAATATGAATCCCTGGGGAACACCAGCGTTGATGGTAATAGTATTCGAGAGATATCCATCTACGGCCACTTGCAGGGAACGTTTTTTAGAAAGCTGGAGAGCCATACACAGAAATGATTCGATAAGCCGTAGCATTGAAGTTTGTCCAGCAAACCCTCATTAACAGCTTTAGCTACCGACCAGAAGGATCTAGACCCATTGGGATTGGCAACCAGTTCATCCCTAATTCTCTGATTTATTTCAAGTACGCAGCTGTTGCGATCATTAACAGACCTAGTTCGATTTTTGGATGTGGGATTTTTTGGCCACTGCCGGTAGGCGAGATTTTCGGAGGAAACAGCTTGCTCGCAAATCTTGTTAAACCACGGTTTGCCGTTAGAAGTTCGTTTCATTGAAAAGGGAATATATGCGTTCATGAATGCTAGACATAACTTTCGTGACTTCAGAAGTACAATAATTATCGGTATTTAACTCAACACAGAAACGAGTTTGTGGTAAGAAGATTCCAATGGAGACCTCACGATGACTGTGTAAATTTCTGGATTAGTTGTTAGGTATAGATCCAGAAGAATATCATATTCTCCATCACGTCCGCTGCCTATTGCAAAAGCCTCAGCTTCGCGACCTTCTTCATAGTTTATATTTGAAAATTTGAGCCATTCGATATTATGGACATTGAAGTCACCGAATATGGAAATTTCGGTACTGGAATCATTGATTTCCAGAAAGTCAATGGTGTTTGTAAGTGAAGAGAATAGTGTCCTGAATTGTGTATCGCTTGGTGGTCGATAAACGCAGCATATGAACTTAGTGATATTTTTTTATATTATTTTTAACCACATAACATCAAAGGTTTGGGGTTCCAGCATTTCCTACCGTTGACAGGGGAGATCGCTTTTGATAAAAAAGACTACAAAGTTACGTCTGAATCGGGAGTGGAAATCATAGCCGGGACTTACAAAATTGACGGGATTTGTTGAAGTCCTCATTGTGGTTCCTCGAGAGCAAGAATATGAGGACTATTTGTTTTCAATTGTTGGTGCACTTAGTTTATATTTGAGTTGAGTTCTCTGGTGTTGCAGAAATCGAATCGATTTTGAAGTTACTAGTGGGCCTCTTAGCAACTGCAGTTACCATGCTATTTCTCTGTGGATTGATGTTAGAAAGACACTGCTGACTGTCAGAAATATTTACTCCAGAACTCTCTCAATCGGGCCCCTAACATTTTTCAGATAGGACAGGAAAGTTTTTCCATTGACAGGCAGGCATATTAGGGGTTGTTTTTGGAATTCTATCTCCTGGTCGTATAGCCTGCTCTTCTTCACTGTACCCTTTGAAAGCTTTTTTCATATTATTGAGTTCCTCGAGGAGTTTCTTTTGTTCACAGATGCGTTGGGCTCTCTCAACTGAAGAATGAATTAACCCCTTCTTTTATTTTGATTCAGATAACTGTTTGTTTGCGTAGGTTTCCTATACACTATGCGACCCAATGTTCCATCTTCATAGTACAGTCACAAACTGAATCACAAACTGAACTGATTTTTGTGGAGTATCGATATACGTGACACTTCTCTGCTCATGTTGTTATTTAATTGTAGTTGAAATGGTTTCAGTCTCAAATGAAAATTTTGTACATACGGTGGAGTATCGATGAAAAAAAGTACCAGTACGAACTGCTGCCTTGATCAAAACTGTCCCGCATTGATGAGGGATAACTCCCCGAAACAGGTCAGTAGATGATAACGCGATTGATTGTTTTTAGCGAGGTTAACTGCAATGAAACTTGCACAGATTGTATTAGCCAGGGTAATAGTTATTTTCCGGAAGGCAATTGCTAGATTTTACTGTGTAAGTGTTGGGAAAGGTGAATGTGTTGAATTTCACAGTAATTAGATTAATTTTAGTTTATATTTTTTTATGAGAATAAAAGCGTTTTTTTGATTTTAAGTTTTCTGTCGTTGTTGAATTTTTTATTACCTACGCTCGTCATTCTGCTCTACAAAGCACGCATTCTATGTTATCTTTTTAGTGAAATTTTAATATTCTGAAATTCTAATGAAGTAATCAAACATTTCTTTTCTTTTCCACATTTCACAAACAAGGGACTGTTTTGCTTTGAAGACGCTATTTCACCGTTATAGTTTCCGAGATGATATCTGTCTGTGAACAAAGAACGTTTTACCAAAGTAGCAGCGACACTTGCATGTTCAAAATTAAATTTCCGGACACAGTTGAAGAACAGCGTCGCCAGAACCCCGGATTTATTCAAACGACCCCATAAAAGAGTCTGGGCCGAGTTTTTGTCGAAAATTAACGCGTTTTATGCAAGGCAACGTTCTGTTGTATTCGACCTCGTTTAATTCCAGCGAACATGTTGGATATTCTCAAATCGACCACGATTACAGGACTATCGCACTATACGTGACACAAAATGTAAATATATTGAATCAGAACGTTCAACCGACGCTTTGTGGGTACCTCCATCCGGTGGTTTATTATTCTTGGTCATTACGATGACCCTTTAGAACAGGGGTCTCCAAAATTTGAAGCCTTTGGGCCATAATGATTTTTTCAGTTTGTTCCAAGGGCCAATTTCTGTCCTTAACTATATTTCTAGACTAGGATAGTCACAAAGTGCGTGACCTAAGCAAACTTACGCTTTTTTGCATTTCAATTATTATTGTGTATTGTGACACTTAACGACATCTAGTGGCGAGTAGTGGTACTATGTACTATCTTTTTCAGCTACCCGCTAGGTGGCATTAGGCGTAATTAAATATTTGGAATTACCGCGTTGGTTCGAGAAAGTTCTGGTTCTAGCTAGTGTATTCCGATCACCTCGAGATGGCAGTAATAATTGCATATAAAAAGGCTAGCGGCGCAACTGCGAGTTAGTCTGCGTAGGAAAG